ATACATGATTTCCGATAGGTTGAAATTCGTATTCTCGGTTCTGTGTTCCCTGTTCTTTTTATTGTGCGGAGCCCCTAATACTCCTATATTGCTAAGGCCGGAATCAGACTATGCATTGAAGATTGAGATTAAAGATTAAAGACTGAAATTTCATCAATGAGGGCAAAGAAATTTTGGCTCCTTTTGTTCTGACTGATCAAACTTCGATCTTTCAATCTTCAATCTCATTCTTCAATGCGTAGTCTGATTCTGGCCTAATGCCCGTGTCACACTACGCATTGAAGATTGAAGGTTGCGAATTACGAATTAGAATTCGACCAACCAAGTAGTTTTAATTTTAATCTGTTTCATTCTAATTGGCTGAATTCTAATCCTCAATTCGCAGTCCTCAGTCTCCAATGCGTGGTGTGATACGGGCATAACGCAGCCTCTTTTTGGGAGTGAAGGGTGCGAAGACAGCGAAATAGAGAATATCGGATCTCTCACTTCCACAGTGTACCTCGAGTATGCACATAAGTAACAAAGTCGCATTTTTGTTTCTTTTTTTAAACACTTTTATATAAAATAACAATGTTGGACACGCGTATGATCATATACGTAATACGCACTACGCAATAAAACATGCGAACGCGGATCAGCGCAGATGTACATATGTGATAACAGGGTAGAAATGCGCGCTTGTGTACTGAAACGAGTACACTATCCAAGTGAGAGGTAAATATCGTCTGCACCGTGGTGTTTTTTTTTTCGCCAGCTCTTAATTGGCCTTAGCAATATAATGGTATTACATATATACTATATTCTAGTGCTCTAATATGACATCATGCTCTCTCCTTTCTTCAGCGCCTCTAACCATAAAAAACGTATCTTATTTATTAAAAAGCTTTCGTGAAAAATTAGATGTAGCAGCGGGGACAGGAGTATTGGCACTAGGTAACCTGATGATGTTGGATTCCTCCAGAACCCAATGTCGAAGGTCGAAGCGAGTGAGCAGGTATCTTGGAGGTAAAGTAATAAGACAACAATTGGAGGTATAAAGTAATAAAACAAAAATTTGAATAGAGGAAAAGACCTAATATAGAATCAAAATTTCATCAGTAAGCCCGGATCCTCATACGGGTAACAGCGCTTTGACACCGAATGCTGATTGGTGAAAAACGGATGATGAAGGTAAATTTTACCCCCACAACCGGCTTTTCACCAATCAGAGCTCTGTATCAATGTGCTGTTGCCCGTATGAGGATCCGGGCTAAGTTAACAATAGAGTGTTTAATTAATTTAGAAATTTTTTTCATATTAATTAGGTATAAAAAATATATTATAGATATAGTTTTTAAAATATTTAATTGTTAATTTTTCGTAAAGTAGAAGATTTAATTGTGCAAATTTTGATATTCTGAATATAAATAGTAAAAAAATATGCATAAGTAAAGTAGTATTATTATATGGAGATAGATGTAAATATTAAAAATATTTGAAAATATTTTTTTCATTTAGGTTAGTTAATAAATTTTTATTAATATTAGAATTTATATAAAAGATAAGTAAAAAAATGGTTAATGAAATAATTAGAGGTATGGGATCTTATTATTAATACAAATATGAGTATGTTTATAAAAAAATGTTAATATAAATAATGGTTTTAAATAATAGTTATTTTTTATATTGGAAATTAGTCTAGTAAAGTATAAGATAATTAGTATCTTGTATGTACAAGACGTAATAATGAAACATGTGATAACGAAAGCTGGATTACTCTGTGCAAACCTAAAGCCTGTTCTACAATGTGCATTTTGTTTCCTGTTTGTTTTTTGTTATTTTTTACATCACAGGTCTGTTTTCTGTGGCTAAATCAGTGTACACTTTTGAAGTGAAATAGGTATATGTTTGTTATTTGTCGAAAGCGAGAAAGAGAGTTCTAGTGCAGTCTAGCGCAGGAACAGAAAACAGACCACTTATCTTTTTGCCTCTTATCCCGTTTTTCGTTTTTCATCGCCCGAGATAAAGGTAATAACGAACTTCGGAAAAAACAAGAAATATGATCGTCAATAAAACGGTCGATAAACGCAAAGAGGGAAGAAAGCAAGAGGTAAAGAACAAGAAACACGAAACAAAGAGTAGAATAGGCTTAAGCCTATGTGATATCCTGACTACAATCTTTAACCGCTGAAGAGCACCTACAGAGTCTTAGGGGCCGATTCTGTAACTCTTAACGACAGTCGTTGATGTTGCGCAGATATTATGTGGAGTAAAGAGGCTGCGTAATGACATCAAGGATGTCATTAAAAGTTACAGAATTGGCCCCTTACAGTACTTAATGAAAAAGAATTTTATTATAGCGCTTTAAAAAGCTCTCTTTAAGCTACGAGAATATGTAATGAAAAATGGGGAGTTGCATTTAAAAAAATTTAAAGTGACCTTGACCCCTTCATTCAAAGTCAAACCAATGGTACCTTCTTATGTTTTCTTTAAAATTATAAAACTTTCTTTCTCGTTTATAACATTTTCCCCTAAAATGCACTGTTCAAGAGATATTTGAAGTGGTCAATTAAAATGGGATATGTTGTATATTTATCTCATTTTAAGTGCAAAATTTTTTGGAAATTTCAAGCAACGCGAACAAACCTCGTATGTACGTTCCCACTTCATCATTTTAATTGATAGCGCTATTGTGTGGACATCAATCAGAAGGAATCTAGCAGTTTCTAGGAACTTTATCCTGCCGACGCTTAACAAAACTGACATATTTATAAAGACTGCATATAATTCATTGTATTTATATAAACAATGACGTTAACATATCATAAAACGTGTATATAGCAATCATATGAACCGGTTTACCACATTTTATTAAGATTTGACAATCGAAATAATCTTCGGATATATTAATATATTGTGATAAATTAGTTATGCAATTAGCACATAAACTTCTACTACTAGACCATACCAGACTGATCACTTCGTCGCCACGTTTGATGCCAAGCCAAAGATATAAAGAATGGACTGCGCGATCTGTATTTAATGGCGAATTCGATTGGAAGAACTATAATGCACACTGGTGCATATTAAAGCCGTTGTACACTGATCTAATTTGAGTATAAAATTGAAGTGCAAATATTTCGAATTATAAAATACATATTTTACCTAATAGTACAGTAAAATGTATTGAGCATTTCAGGATTTAATCGATTTCTATGTTTATGTATAAACATATCTTTACGTTATTTTGTGTATGACGGCTTTAATGTGCATCAGTGCACACTGAGTGCACCCAATCGAATTCGCTATAAGTAGTATTCAAATGTGATTGACAATAATGAGGGAGAGGGACTAAAAGACGACCAATCTTTCTCTCATTCTCTCCCCCATTACACCGTTGAATGGAAAGAGATATAGATTAGCCGTCTTCCACCATCCCTCTCTCTTTACTTTCTGATAGAAACTTATGTTGTTCCATCAATTAAGGCTACGGTCCACTTGATACTACAAATGTTTCCAAACATTTTTTGATTGGTCAGTTAGTGAAATTTTTTCTTCTGATTGGTCAGTCAAATGCTTCCGAAGCGTTTGTAGCGCCAAGTGGACTGCACCCTAAGATATGTGAATACTGGTTCTGTCGATTCAGAAGTAGTGGTTTCAATATTAACGACAAAAGCTGAAAAATGCAGATTTGCAAGCATTATTGGACGAAAATCCAACACTATCCACTTCAGAACTTGCCAGAGAATTAAATGTTGATCGTACAGCAGTTATTAAACGTTTACGTGATATATTGTTTAAATAAATCAGTTTTTGAGAAAAACCCTCAAAACTAAATCACACTCCTAATATAAAGTTGTCGCTTTAATAGTTCTGGTACAAAAGTCATTACGTAATCTTTTTTGAAACGGCTGGTTTGAGCGGCTCCTGAAAAATGCATCTTAAGACTCTGAGTAGTCGCGGTGGCCATGTTGGAATCGTGACGTCATAGGCGAGAAATGACACGTTAATTTATGATGCGTCATTTGTAAATAAAGGTAATTTGGACAAATCTAAATGACGAGATCGCTTTAAAACACTTGTAAAAATGGACAAAAACTGTCTTTTCCTCCCTTGATAGTCAGTAAATGGTCGTAAAAGGCAGGTAAAATGAGCCTATATTCGGGCAAAAAAAACAGCTGTTGAAACGAGTGAGATATACGCTTTTACGTATAAAATTACAAGATAAGTGTAGTTTTTGCCCATTTTTAGGACTTTCATAAGTACAAAACAAGTCACATTTTCACAGTTAAGTAAATAATAACGAAATGGCATGCAGCACAAATTTTGTCGTTAAAACGTCACTTTTCCACGCCTCTAAGTTCAGCCATTTATCGTGGCGAGACGCTGTATGCACGCACGCACGCACGCACGCACACACACGAGCCCATATACATACATGTGTCCGTTTTCGGCGTGTCGAGAGCACATGTACAGTCATGGACTAAAAGGTTGCAACACTTTTTTTCGATTGGTTTCGGAATATAGTCTACTCACCGAGCGATTGGTTCTTATTTGTCGATCCATGAATAAAAACCAATTACTCGGTGAGCAAGCTGCGTTCCGAAATCCATCGAAAAAAAAGTGTTGCAACCTTTTTGTCCCTGACCATACATGGGCTCGTGCTTGTGTGTGTGGCTACCGGTTTCGTCAGGCCGCCATCTAATTCTGTGTCGCCATCGTCAACGCAGAGTTCTTGGCTGAGTACTCAGAAGCCTCAATGCATAATATATAAGAGAATTAACCATTTAATCTTTCCTTTCATGAAATGAAGAACTCCGATTAGTTAATTCTCTTATGTTTTATATATTATGCGTTACCCAAAAGTCTATAATCCAACCTTATATATACATAAGCATAAGTGACTGACAGAGACTTCTCAGTATTACTTTTGTTTTCTTTTCTATCATTGGTCTGTTTTCTGTTTCTGCACTAAACTGCACTAAAACTCTCTTTCTCGCTTTCGACAACTATCAAACATATACTTATCTCACTTCAAGTTCCAAAAGTGTACACTAGTTCAGCCACAGAAAACAGACCTCATATACAAAATAATCGAAGTCAGCAGTCTAGTTATAGAAGTTTGTGGCAATTAGTGATCATAATGTTCTAAGACTTTTTTCCGAGCGCCTTCTGTGTTAGCTCTGTCTTCTTTTGTTGCGCCATTTCTTTTTGCTTTTTCTCTTCCTCTCGTCGTTTTGCCGCCTCTTCTCGTTGCTGCTTAATTATAGCCAATCGTGCTAGGTCCGCTCGAGCTTCATCCGTTTTACCGGCCGCGTGTAATTTTTGATAATTCACATAGGCTCTTTGTTTTTCCAATTGTTCCCTGAAAATTAGAATCACATAAATCAATTTTCTATATTGATGAGACTGACATAAGTGATACACCCAATAAGATATGATCGTAAGGATATATTTTCAAAAAACATCATCAAAACATTATGATTGCAATCAAAGTAATTATACACATACCGCTCTCTTCGAGATAGTTCTGGTTTTGCAGTGTCTAACGATTGATTCAATTGGGATAATTTTTTTGTTTTCTTTTGTACCCTGTTTGGATTTTCTACTTGAATTAAATTCTCTACACCTTTTGCTTTTCCTCCCTACAAGAACAGAATAATTAATGAAATAAATTAAAACACAATACTTTATTTATGTAACTTGTAAAAAAGATCTTTTTTAATCTCTTATGCATACACGTATATAGATACCTCTGTTTCCGATTCTGATTCTGACTCACTGTTGCTATCTGTGGTGCTACTTTTTGACCTATTGGCTCCACTCGTTTTGGTCTCCTCATCATCTTCTTCCTCACTGGAACTCTCCTGCCCTTTATTTTTCTGTAAAGTAAAGGAAAATTAACTTAGTTTTCAGTAGAATATATAATGTAAAAGATAATAGTTTATTCTTACCTAAATTTGACACTATATAATGTTGTAAATTGATACTGTATAGTGTCAAATATAACCATTGTTTTAGTAAAAAATAACGATATTATTCGAGTAGGAGTAGTGGCGACTCACATTAAGTTAATTTGACACTATAAGATTTAACAGTGTAGGTAAATGCACCTGGTTAATTTTTACATCAGTGGATAGATATCAAAATTCTATACATTTTATACATTTACGAAATTACACTATCATACTTTGTTCATAAGAGAACTTTCCAAATTGTAAAAGTGATATAAAAAAAATTAACGTTACCAGTCAAAAGATCATGTTTGAAATAGCTATTCTGGCTAATATGCCGATCGGCGGAAACCGCTCCGATGATTTTGACCTTGATATATTATGTTGTTAAAGTTATGATCCTGTGTGATCTCCAAGATGTTTTAACTGTCGCTCGTTATTCATTAAGAAGTCATTAATCAAAAAAGTTTAAGAAATAAGAAATAACGTCTTATTTCTGCTATACGCAATATTAAAAACTCCATATCCTCTCTACTAAGGGGCGCACGATTTCCACGCGAAGAAAGTTACATCCGACCTCCCCCTCTGCCTAGAGTCGCAGGAGGCAAGGGGGTGGATTTTGTTTCGCGTGGAAAGTCTGACGCTCCTAGACAAATCGAGTGCGGAGTAGTTCTTAATATTGTATAAAGCAGAAATAAGATGTTATTTCTTAAACTTTCTTGTTAATAACTTTTTAACGGATGACGAGCCACGCCTAAAACTTCTTGGAGATCATTCAGGGTCATGACCTTGACAACATGTCAAGGTCATCGGAGCGGTCTATCCTGATCGGCATATTTACTAATTTAAGCACAATATCTCGAGAACAATGCATTTTTGGAAGAGGGAACAAAAAAACGTTTCAAATAGAATTTAAAGAGGGCCATCAGGTGAGCTATTTATTTTGAGATTTTGAGAATAATGAAAACTCAGCCTGTGGGCTTTATTATAATAAACATTTTTTTTTAATGCATTGTTCTCGAGATATTTTGTGTCTAAGTTTATGGCCAAACATATTTTTGCTCAAGTGGGACACAGAATCCATAGGATTCCAAGATTTGACCTCCTAGAATACCTATTTCAAATGTGTTCTTTTGACGTTAGGTTTTTTTATATCACTTTTACAATTTGGAACATTCCCTTGTCAGAAGCCGAAAGACTGATTCCGAGAACTATGTAACGGGAGTGTTTTCTCTCGTAGTAAGGAGTAGAGCGTCAGACGGCTCGTCAAAAACTGAGTTTCGAAATGTTCGGATTTGAAAGCAATAACGTTTGTTCGATAATTTTCAGTAATCAGAAAATAGAGATATATATTTTGGTAAATTTGGAAAGATACATTCAGTAGGATCTCACCCCTTAAACATGTTCGACTGCTAATAAAAAAATACGTATCGAATATTTTTATTCCTTCTACAAGTCAACCGATTTTCATTAAAATCAGACAGGGACACCTGTCAAGGATAGGGTACTTGTTATGGAATAAATCGGAATAATTCTGATTGGATTTCTTATTTAATTATTTACTAGATTTCTATTGTGTTTCCCAGGAACAACAGAATAATTCCGATTAGAATCCATTCCGAACAATTCTATAATACATGCTCTGGGAGCTTTTCCATATTAGTAATTACTTATAATAATTTTTATATTTTAATTTGCTATATTAAATATTCTATATCAGTTATAAATAAATAGGATGTCAACTAATTTAGGAATGGATTTTATCCTAATAGAAAAATATTTATGAAATTATATGACGAAATCTTGCATAAAATTTGTAATCTGCAGTTATACGTATAGATACATTTACAAAAATAAATGTAGGAATGCTAATCCTTTATAAAACATTGCTAACTGTTTGTGTAATTAATTTTGAAATATTATTTTCACAAAACAATATGATAAATTGTCTTAGCGGCATATTGGAGATAGGTAAATCAAGTATTTGTAAGGTCAAATCAAATCGAATCTTTGATAATATATTCGGAAACGAATCGAATCGAATTTGAAATTTTTATATCAAATCGAATCGAATAAAATCTTTTTGATTTGAAAACGAATTAAATTCGAATAAAAAAATATATCATTTTCTCAGTTCATTAAAAAATTCAGTTTATTAAAAAAAATCTAGATCTTATTGAAAATAGTTGATTAGCTTTTATTAGTCTGTTTTAAATAACATAAAATAATATTTGAAATGAGTATAAGTAAACAAATAATAATCGCGATTATAGTGTATCGTTTTAAAAGAACCATTGACTATTTATCCTATTAAAACTTAATTTAAGACTAATACTTTGTGCTAAATTTGTACTTTTATTTCAATTACATTTATTTAGAGAAAATGAATAGCATTTTAAAAAATACATAACATTATTTTTTTGATAAATTAATCATAATACCTAAAAATCACTGAGTGGCTTTGTCTTTTCAACGCAGTCAATAGGTTGCCAATAATCCAATGATAACCGCCGATAAGCGATGAATAAGCGCACGCGCAAAAATCGATATACGGTGATATAAGATTGGTCGTAGGAGATATGAAGAAGAGTCGTATATAAATAAAACAAAAAAATAAGCAAATGATTTAAAATCGAACCACTAGTAATTCGAAATGTCGAACTTATTCAGTTTTCAATCTTAGATTGGAAAACGAATCGAATTGAATTCCACTGTGATTCTATTCAATTTGAATTGATTCGCCCACCTGCAAAATTAAAGCTCCCGAATAGTCGCCGCGGCTATATTGAATCGTGATGTTATAATCGAGAAATTAATTTTTGTTACATGCTATTTATAGGGAAAAGTTACTATGAAAAGTAACTTGTTACTATTACGTGTTATTTATTAAAAAAAAAAAAGAATTATTTGGATTAGGGAACACCGCGCCAATGACCTTACCACGACATATGCTGTCATGACTCTGGGTGCGTTCCGTTACTCGCATGATGCGCATAATGCATCGTTTAGCTTTGTTGCTCACCAAATGTTAAATAAGGACAATGGATGCATCATGCACATCATGCGCGATACGGAACGCACCTTCTGAGTGACCTTCAAAAAGTTTTACATGGCATTTACTGTCCGTTGAAAAGTTATTAGCAAAAAACGCGCGCGCGCGCGCGCGTGTGTGTATACAGGGTGTACAAAAAGTCTCGGACCCTTCAAATGTTTTGAAAAGTAAGCATTTTTGAGAAAAATATTGAAATATTGAAATATAATTAGCGACGCCACCCAGGGCCAAACAGATGTGATCAGAGTGAATAGATCTTTTTAAATCCTATAACTTTTGTCTGAAACATTTTTCTAAAAAATGCTTTTTAAGATATTTGAAGGGTCCGGGACTTTTTGTACACCCTGTACATATAGAGTGGACCATTTTAATTTATCCAGTTAATTTTCTCAAAATTTGTAAGTTAAAGGCAAAAATATTTGAAACAAAGATTTTATGATTTCAAGCGGGAAAATTTGTTGTACGACAAAAACGCACACAAATGAAATAGCACCGTATCAAGTGTTCCAAGGTGTGAGGCCAATATTACATGCATCCGTTTTTTTGTTGTACAACAAATTTTTCCAAAGCGTGTCAATTGGCTGTAAGACAGAGAGGATCTCAGGCTTCTTTGTTCTACAACCGACAGATTTGAAAAATTTGTTTTATGACAAATGCCTGATTTATGCTTCAATCTTGATCTTAAATCTTAAAATTCAGCCAATGGAATACAGTTAGGACCAATTAAGACTGGCAGCCCCATTGGATAAATTTTAGAATTTTAGGGTTAAAACCGAAACATAAACCAAGCAAAAAAACGGACACATGTGAGGATAATATTTCATTTGTGCCTTTTAGTCGTACGACAAATTTTTCAAGTCTGTCGATTGGCTATGGGATAGAGAGATCCGAGGACATCTCTGTTCTATATACATTTGTCATACGACAAATTTTTTAAGCCTGTTGATTGGTTATGGAATAGAGAGATCCAATGACCTCTCTGGTCTATACACATTTGTCCTACGACAAATTTTTCAAGTGTGTTAATTGGCTGCAAGACTGAGAGGATCTCGAATTTTTTTATTGCATAGTCAATCAACAGGCTTGAAAAATTTATCATACGACAAAAAACGGATCCATGTAATATTGATCTAACATTGGGCTAAAAGAGGTCGATGTCTAAACTAAATAGCTTCGATATTCGTGTCAATTAACCTAAAAATACTAACTCTCCACTGTTGCTTTTTTTCTTCCTGGCGCCGCTGCTCCTCTAATTCTTCTGGATTCGTAAAATGCCTGTTCCTGCCTTTGTGATTTACGAATTTTCCTGCGCGACAAAGAGCGATTAGTAACGAAGAGTACAGAAATCATTTTCCTCGAAGGAACGCGGAACATAAGATGAATTAAGAAGATAGGAACCAGAAAGGAGCACTTGTAAAAGGATACTTACCTCGCGGCATCGTAGTTCGTAATTGTAGCGTAAATCACAGTAATAATTAAATATCGTAAGAACTGCGTGAATTTCCGATCCGCGGATTATATATGTCACATTAGCAAAAGAAATACGAATTTTATAAGCCGCCTTACCGAACTACACCAAATCACCAAAGATTCACTGAGATGGACCACAGAATCGGAGAGAAACCTAAGAGAGGCTATGTCGGCCTTTTTCCTATTATCGTCAAAATCGTCCGTACATTACCGCCTTTTTCGGTTTGGAAACTACGTAACATCTATTTTTAATACTGTCGATAAAATCGTATCGTCGAAAGTGGATGTGATTCGTATCTATACTATATTCACAATGGAATAATAAGGACTGCGGTCGATTTGGACGCTCACGCGCTTTACCCCGCTTTAGAGTCCCTATAATGAGAGTCGGGAAATGAGGGGTGGTTGTCTCTGATTGGACGCCGTCATTTATAGGCCATTTCGATGAGGTAGTGAATCTGTGAATTGGTGTGAGCAACTGTCATAGTGCAGTAGTACAGAAAGACGCGAACGCGAAATCGGATTGTCACCATTCGGAAAACCAATTAAGGGAAAATTAGAAGAAGAAGAAGAAGAAGACTGTCACCATGGCACGGTGTGCTATTTGTGGTACGGAATCGACGCAAGGGATCAAAACATCTATATTCTCTAAGTCCGGATCTACAATTGGTGTTTTAAGTTTTAAGCTATAAGAAATTGACCAACTACAGTCGAATGCGAGAAGAATAATAGATTGTGATTCATCCATCTCTTAAGCGGGGAGCACAGACTCTTGCATAACGCATAACACGTAATGCATAAGAATATGTACCAATCGAAGTTCTCCGTTTCTTTCCCTTCCATGTAA